CAGAGCCATCCACGCCCGGGGTCATCACAGCCCTGACCGGGCCATTTTCTGTGAAGGATGTCATTAAATTCGTCGGTAGCTTTAGGGAGGAAGTCTGGGGGGCAGTGGAAGTGGTGGATGCCTGGCTGGGCCCCCAGCGCTTGAGTGTGACCTCGCAGGACTTGTCTGCACCTTCCGCCCTGTGGGGTGAGCCCAGTTCCAGCCTCCTCCATCTCCTGAATGAAGGCCCTCCTCCTGGGCCAGCCTCATTCCCGGACGAATGGAGGACACAGGAAGCCGTCATTGCCTGCCAGACGGGACACCTCCTGGGGCAGAGGACCATGACCTTAACCATGAAGGCCCCCCCGCAGCACCCCCACCCACAACCCTGCCCAGGGCTGCAGCAACTCAGAGGTTGAGAGTGGCCTGGGAGGCGGATGTGTGCAGGGCTGCCTGGCTGGGGACTTCCCCGGTCACCACTGCCCACGCTCGTCCCGACAGGAAACCTGACAGGTCTGAGCCCTCCAGACACCCATTGTGTGGGGCCTGGTGTGGGCTCCAGTGTTTCCCTTGTCAGGACTCCTGTTCCTCCTCCCCTCCTCCTGTTCCTTGTCAAAGCTGGCTTTTAAGGAAAGTTCCAGGCTGTTGCCCCTCCCATCTCTGCATTAAGTCCTGCTCAACCTTAATAAGACTTTTGCTCTTTCTAGCCCACCTGGGTTCAAATCTTGACTCCTAGTGCAAGCTGTGTGACTTTAGGGAACTTACTTACCCTCTCTGTGCCTCCAATATTTTCTGTAAAATGAAGATGGTAACCATCTGTCTAATAGGATTGTTGTGAAATTAAATGAGCTCATGTGCATAGACTGCTGCGGACAGGGTCTGGCACACGGTAAATACGGAATACAGTTTGTTAGTATTAAATCCTAACTTCGCCGTCAGACAAACCTGTCGTGACCAAACCCGTCACCTTCCTATGTTAGAAGTCTTGGGCTTCTGTGGTCCCCTCCAGGCGTGAGCATCTCTCCCCGCTGGGTGGAGTCTGGTGTTAGATAACTGGTTGTTGTTGTTGTTTTTTCCTCCTGCACAACATGGCCCCTCAGGAAAGGCCAGCAGGCCCTTCCGTGTTGTGCTCAGCTGAAGAAATGGGTGACCTGCCCTAACACGGGAGGAAAAACTGCCCTTTGTGGGCAACTGAAAGCTTTCAAGGATAATTCTGACAATATGCTTTTCTGCTCCTTCCTCACTGCCTGTAAACCTAACACCCCCAGTAAGATGCAAAACTACACTGGGCTGGCCCCCTCCCCAGCATCTGGTGCCCCTCCTAGCCAGCGGTGGCCTGGCCTGTGGTTTACCTGGACTTCCGGCCCAGCTCTAAGGCCACCCACCACCTCCTTCTTGGCAGATGTAATTCTCCTCCAGACACCCAGATGCTGATGGTTCTCTCCCCACAGGGAAGGTCTTTGGGTTCATCCCTCCCTGGTCTCCTGTGTCCTCATTATTCAAAGGTCAGGGGTGTCGCTCAGACTTCTTTAATGAGACGATGTCTGAGCTGGGTCCTGAGGGATAAGGAGGAGTTCACCAGGTGGGTGCAGAGGGAAGAGATTCATGGTGGCCATCTAACAAAAGGGCAAAGGCTGGGGGTGGGAATGAGGGTGGAGCCTTGGAGGCCACGAGCAGATAGATCAGGGTGGGTGGAGGGCGGGGGGATGCAGAGAGTGGTGGCTGCTTCGTAGCAGAGCTTGGTCCTTCTCAGTACTCTGGGAGTTCACCTTTGGAGCCTTTTGAGGGACCGAGAAGGCGGTGGTGGGGTCAGGTCAGATGTAGCCAGCCCCATCCCCCTGCCTGGCACTTAGGAAACATGCAGATTTCCAGACCTCACCCAGACGCACTGAATCAGGAGTCTTGTGGGAACCCCAGAAATATGCAGGTTTAATGAGCTGGGATGATTTGGACGCTCAGGCGTGTGGAAGCTACAGCCTTGACCCCCACCCAAAGCAGCACATGGGGAGGTGGGAGCTGGGCCTCTTCAGGAGCCCCTCTGGAGGCAGGATGGAGGTGGGACTTTCAGCCCTGTGGGGCCCTGGGCTCACAGATCAGCAGGACCTGGGACGCCCACGCTGGCCGAGGCTTCCCCTTGGAGGGGTCTGTCTTAGGAAGTGGTGTTGGTGGTGGGGGCCATTTTCAGGTGGCTCTCCTCCAGTCTAGGCAGTCTCTGGAAGGGGGGCTGCTTCTGTTTAAAGGGAGGAGGCCACAGGGGCAGCGGGAGGGGGTGGGTGGCTTGTTCCACAGCGGGATTGATTCCAGATGCTCTGCTGGGGTGTGCAGGGAGCAGCCTTTGTCTGCCTGCCTGCTGTGGGAATCCTGGGCCAGGAGGAGGGGCAGGGAGCCCAGGCCCCTTCTCTCCTAACTCCTGCCCTGCCCTCTGTCTACTCGGTACCCCAGCTGGTCCCTACTGGGTACCCACCCGAGGCCTGTGGAGATGTGGAGCTTGGGTAGTTGGCATCCCAAAGCCAGGAGTGCAGAAGCTTCGTCCTCTTCATTAGCTGACCCTCCTCCCTCCACAAGGCAGATAGGTTAGGGGTCCATAGCCTCTCCTTGTAGGTAGGGAGACTGAGGCACAGAGAAGGACTTGAGAAGCCCACGTAGAAGCAGAGACCATACCAGACTCACGGAGCCCAACTGTGTTTACAGACGAGGTCCTGAGTTCCTGGCTACTTCCCCCTCCCTCTATGCACACATACCTAAATCTGCTTGTTGGGGGCCCCAGGCCAAGACCACTCATCCCAGCCCCTCATCAGTCTGATGGCTGGGAGCCTCTCATCCCCTCAGGGGAAGGCTAGAACCTGGCTGATCAGGGGATTCCTGCTTTGGGAAGGAAACTGGGCCGGATGAACTCCAGGCCCTGGGAACAGGATTGTTGCCCCCATCCTGAGCCGGACCTCCTGGGAGTTCTCCACCCCCTAAAACCGGAAGGCCCGGCCTTGGAGGTTATGCATTCCTAGAGGTGCCAAGGTATGGGTAGGTGGCTGCGGGGGCCCCACCTGAGTGGGGAGGCCCAGGCTTGGCGGAAGAGGATGCATGAAGACCCACAGCCTGCCTCTGGACTGAGGGACTGGGTACAGCTTTTCCCAGGGGCCTCTGCACTTGTACCAGAGGCCATGTCTGCTATTGAGAATGAGCGAGAGCAATATAACCCAAAGGAAGTCAATGGTGTCCTTGCAGGCGGGTGGTTTTCCATCTTCCCAGGGATTGGCCAGTGATCTGGGGAGAGGGGCCAGGGAGCTGACAGCTTTGGACAACCCAGACTGGGTTTGGAGGCGAAGACCCCTCCTGCCCCTCCCCCCTGGTCCTAGGAAGGCGCCTGGCTTCCAGCTGTGATCCAGGCTCCTCCTGACTTGGGGGCCCTCCCCCTGACTGAGGGGAGGAAGGAGGGGGCTCCCCTTGTGAGGCACAAAATCCGGCCTGGATTCCTGCCGGGACTGCCCCGCCCTCTCCAGGGCCCCACTTTTCAGCTGTTCTGGAGGAGGACATCCAGGCTACCTCAGGGACTCTCCCACCAATACACCCCTGAGACTGCATGTGGGGAGCCCACTTGCCTCTGTTACTTTCCCTGTGCCTGAGGCAGTCAGACCGCCCTGTCGGGCCTCAGTTTCCCCTTCTGTACTTGAGGGGAGGGAGCTCAGGCAGGTGGTTGTCTGAATAATTTAAAAGATGAATGCTGCTATGGGGGCCAGGGAGAGTAGAGAGAGAGATGCTGTCAAGGGCCAGGATGCTCAGGGAAGGCTCGAGGAGGTGGACCCTAGAAGGATGGACCTTGGTCAAGTGAAGAAAAGGAGATGGGAGGGCAGTCCCTGGTGGGGGTAGAGCAGAGGAGTGAGAGGTAGGCGGGTGGTAGGTGAGGCCGGAGGGTGGTTTGGTTGGGGCCAGATGTTGGAGCCTCAGATGCCAAGAAGCTTGTTTGCCCTTGTTGCTTTCGGGCTCTGGGGAGCCATGGAAGGTTCTTGAGCTGGGGAGTGCGTGACTTGGAGAAAGCTTTTCAGCAGGATGCGCTAGAGGAAGTTGGCACCCTCCCTTCTCCCAGCCTCAGTTTCCCATCCCTACAGTAGGGCAGGGATTGTTCTGCCCTGCCGGCAGGCATGCCAGAGCTGCTGCCGATGCCCAGTGGGAGGAAGACTTCAGAGCACCTGTGGTGTTTTATTTGAGGGAGGGTCTAGATCAAAGGGGGCAAAATGTTCAGATTTGGCAAAGCCCAGCTGGATACACAGGTGTTCATTGTGTTCTCTCTACTTTTGTGTGCTTGAAATATACACCATAATTGTAATTAGTATAAAGATAATTTGAGTATTAAACGAGACACTTTTTAAGATGTAAAGAATAGGCAAGGATCCCGCGTGAAAGGGGAGACTTTTCAACCTAGCTGGGGCCAGCGGAACAGTGTTTGCGGGTCGATACTCAGCCCAGTGCCCTTGGGGCAGAATCGGGCCCTGCGGCGTCAGCCGCATTCGAACCCTGATTGAAGGTGACCGGTTCCAGAACAGAGTGCCCGCCCTGGTCACCTCGCGTGCGCCCTGCCCACTGCCGGGGAGGGCGCACACGCGGTTGTGCACCGTCTACACCCGCCGGCGGGCTGGGGCGCCCCGCACGCCCCGGGTCGGGCATCTCCGCTCAGGCGCCAGGGTGGAGGCGGTGACCCTCCCGGGGACCTGCCCGGGGTCCCGGGACACTCCTCCCCGCCGACTCCAGGCCGGGATTTCTCCCGCACTGACTTTCCGGGCCGGTGCCAGCCCGGCCTCCCGGTCCCCGGCCCCCGCCGCGGGGCCGGCTGCTCGGGGAGGGCGGGGGCGGAGGAGGAGTTTGAGCGACTTTGTG